CGGGGCCATGGAGGAGCGAGGCTACAGCCTGAAAAGAGCAGCTCCAGTGCTGTAACTTTTCAGACACTGATGGATAATGACTTCTTCCAGCCTTGCTGTCCCAGGTCCTGTTTTTCTGCAGCCAAGACGCTGAGCTTACCCAGAGACATTTACACTGATTTGTGTGGCAGGACGTGGGGCTGCTCTATTGTAGGTGCTGGACGGGGCCAGCATCCAGGTACCTTTGGACAGGCTTACATGGACAGCATTTGCTTATCATCTGACTGACTAGGTTTCTCCTTCCTTTCCCAAACCAGGTTTTTGCTCTGGGAAACCTCAAGTGCTTTTTCGGTAAAAATAACCGATACAAGCCAAATGTTCACACTTGCAGACCGGCGCTCCTGTCTGGAAAGGCCATTTTGGCGCAAGCTGACTTGATTTGTTGGGTTCATAACTCTTGGGGAAAAGTCAGCTCTGCCACTGATAATTCTGCTCATTGGCAGAGCAGGAAAATTATCATCTAGTTCAGCTGAAAAAGGTATTGCATTACACATAGTGTACAATCCATCCTATAGCAGTAGACATTTTCCCTGCACTTAGCAGCCCCACAGGAGGACAAATGTACACAAGATATTGGGCTTGAAAGACTGATCTCATTTTCAGGATGAAACTTGACAACTTCACATCGAAAAAGAGAAAAAGGCACCAGGGTCAAACATACCCATTTCCTGGGTGCATAGGATAACAGTGAAATGCCTGACTCTTTTGGGGATTTAATTAACTAAAATTGCTTTTTTAAAATAACAAACATCCTGGATAAATCCACAAACGTCCTCTTAGTGTATCTTATCTGTACAGTTTTCCTGTACACATGTTTCTGAAGAAATCCATTCGGCCTGGGGTAGTGCATCTGCCAGCACGCTGACGTTTTTCAGGGGCAGCGGAAGGAACAGTAAAAAAAAAACAAGCATTGAGAAGCTACAAAGATTTATTCTGACGGCTTTTAAATTTTATTTCAACAGCACCCTTAGCTTTTTGATGAAAGTCTTCTACTTCAAGTGTGTCATTTGTAATTTATATTCTAGTCAGAGCCTCATACACAGAAATGTGCACAAAATCATGCTCTCGTTGCTCACTGAGTACTTGCGCATCTACCCGAGGGTCGGAGCTGAGCAGGAGTAAGAGTTTCATCCGTGCCGAGGACACTTAAAAAAACTGCTTTGTATTTCTTAATGGATCTCCTTAGAAGTGCAACAAAAGCAACAAAAAAAACTAAAAGCTTGCAGTTGAGAATCATTCCAATTTGTTCAGATTCCTATTCAAAAACAATAAGAAGAGAGATCTGAGATCTCCTTTACGCACACAGAGGGGCATTTCCATGTCGAGACTGCATGCCTGATGTGCTCTTAATGAGAAAGAGACGCATTCGGAAACAAAGCCAGCCATGCTCCTGATTCAAGGCAGTGCTTTATATTTGGTTTCCTAAAATGGGTTCAATTAAATTAAAGAGGAAAAAAAAAGATGCATAAAAGATGCCTGATAATGGACTGCATTTTTTTTTCTATTTTATTTCGGAAGGAGAACCTGTGAGAGAAATTTAGAAACTAAAAAAAAAAATGATGCAAGAAAGCGGGCATTAGGTTTTTTTATCATAAATCTTTTTTCTGGACTTGCTGCGTTTCTAGCGGAACGAACAAGACTGGCTTACAGCAGAGACGTGCGTCCTGCCCCACTGCAGGAGAGAAAGACTAACTAAAAACGCGGAGAGAGTTTAAAACAAAGAAAACAACGACATAAAATTCAAGCTGATCTTATCAAACGCAGAAAGCAGATCTAAGGACACTTCTAGGCAAGTGCTGCTCCCATGCTTGTGTTGGACTGTGAGCACCAGAGGTAGCAGGTCAGGAAGCGATGCCACTCTGGAATAAGGGCTTTTTACCGTGGTAGCATCAAACTCCTGGATATGCCAAAGGAAGCAAACAACTCCTCGCCAAATATAAAGCGAATTGCAATGCTCTTCACAAAGCATTAAGAGCAGCAGCACCAATATTGGATGGAGATGCGTTGCCCTGTACTTGAAACGCCCACAAAGTTTTCTCTTTTTATTTTGTCTTTCTGTGTTTTTCCACCCTGTCCTACATTTCTGCTCGGTTCAAGTCCCTGGGGTGCTCTCTCTCTCTCTCCCCCCCCCCCCTTCATTTTTGCGGCATGAGACGCCGACGTCAAAACATGAACTCCATGGGCTCAGTGCAAGCTGGTACGCAGAGAAAGCCGTAAAATCATCCTTAATCTGACTCTGGTATGGGCAGCCAATCATTGCAAATGAGGGCTCTTGAATACCAACTACTTAGGGTAAAAAAGCAAATGTAGGCTGTTCTAATGTTAATGAATACATATGTGGGTAGGAATCTCCTTTTAGTTAGGTTATGCTTTTATAGCCGCTGGGGATCATGGGGGGGGAAAAAAAATGTCATTTGTCCTTGTCCACAGCCATCACAAGTTGCCAAACCTGAGGCTCCCCTTGGGCTCTGTGGTCTGTGGTCGAGTTAGAAAAAGGGGGGGCGACCCCCCCCGTCTTCCTCACTCTCTGGCCGGATCCCTGCCGGGGCAGCGGGAGACCTCGTGGGAGAAGCGTTCCCAGGCTTCCCGGCTCAGATGTAGTCGTCCTCGACCGGCTCCCCCCGGACGTCGCAGTAGTGAATGAAGATGGCCACCACCCTCTGGAAGACCCCGCGCCTGGTCTGCCGGAGCTCAGAGATCTCCTCCCCGATCGTCTCCATGCAGATGTCCGCTGACAGCTGGCCCTTCCGTCGAGGAGCATAGATCGTGGCTACAGAAACGACAGTGGCCGGGGGGGGGAGGGTCAGGGCAGAATGGGAGCAGCAAGGTCCCCCTCGCTCAGACTGGTGTGTCCTACTTTTCGTGCACCTTCTGTGCAAACTGCAGGCCAGTTTCTGTGACAAGACTACAAACGGGGGAAACGAAGGGGCAGTGCCGCCCAAAGCTGCATATAAAGCAGTCAGGGTTAAAAGGAAGGAGCAATGCCATGGGAAAAATTAACTACTTCTGTCTTTTACAGCTTGAGTCTTTTACAAATCAGCTTCCTGACTGTGGCACAGAAAACTGCCCTGTGTTTATTTATCCTTCACTCTTACGACGAGGCCGAGCTACCGCACACTGGTGTCTGCTCGTTTTTGAGCTTCGTATTGCACCTCATGCACAAACACTGAGGGCCGCTCATTCCAACAACGAGGGTCGGGAATCTCTTTTCCCTTTAGTTCCGTACTCACTGTTCTCGTCGTCTTCAAAGTCGTAGCGTGCGTAGCTGTTGGGCTCTGCGGTGCGTAGGGATCGCAGCCATGGGAAATCGGTGATCATAGAATAAGGGGCGCCATCTACTACACCTGGAGAGAGAGAGATGACGTCAGGGAAACTAGATTGAGAAAAAGATATGGATGATACTCAGCTGTGGTGAACAAAACCGCTCAGACTTCCAAAAGAAAACCACTTTCAAAGTTGTGAAACATATCTTCATTTAAACTCCAGAACTGGGTATCCCTGTTCTAATGATCACGGACGACCAGTGTGTCTGTATGCTTTTCCAGGCCTCCCTAAAGAACCTGCAGAGCCGGGAGAAGTTAAATTGGTCCTTTTAAGCCAATAAACCGCTGGTGTTGCCCACTAACACCCAAGTTGGAATGAAAACCTGGAGGCACACTGGCCTTCTAGGACCAGGATTGGTTACTCTTGCCTTACAATTTCCATAGCAGTTATGATTTGGCTGCTTTCTAATTTGGGAACCCAGCACAGACTAATTCATTGACAGACCAATGATTCTTAGGAACCAAACACTATTATGTAAGGCATAGTGCTGACTATACTAAAATTAGAGGCCAAGAATTGCTATGCAGCAAATACAGCTAAACCATCACCTATTCACATTTTATTTTAATGGCCAAAGGTCCTCACCCTCTAAAGTGTAGATATCCCGGCCCCATGGGTAGTTTGGGTACCTCTTCACATCCTCTTCTGTCCTGGTGGCTTCTGGGAAAAACTCATACTTGATGAGCTCTCTGTCAACAGCACACACAGTTTCTTAATGCCTTCACTAACCAAGGATTACTGATCGTTTTGACTCCAGGTTGCGTCCATTCGAAAGTGCAGGAGTCCTACTGGAATACCGACAAGCTAAGTCTTAACATTTTGTTCCTTTTCAAGTTTAAGTTAGATCTGTAAGAGTTTATAAGAAAGCAATGGGCTAGATCAGCAACATCAACTGCGACAGAAGGGCGACATCTACTGGTAGCACCAATCTTCTTCTGCAGATTACTTTGATTTACTCACTATTTACCTATTACTGTTATTAACACAAAAGACTAATGAAAATAAGTTACACAAAAAACAAAGTAATTCGATAATTACAAGACTAAAAAAAGGATGAGATAATAAGATCAGAATAATTTTAGTCATAAAGTTGCTTTTCTGGCCTAGTTCACATTTTAAGTTGGATTAAATTTATTGGGATGTATGATTACAGAGTGCAATAAAACTTACAATTACAACCTAATATAGAAAACCAAGTACAAGTCTTGCCTAGAAGAGGCAAAAAAGATATTGCTGTTCTGCAATCACTCCATAGAAGAGCATTCAGAAAAATAGCAGGGCTCAAGGGAACGTCCAACACTGATAGTCTGAAGGAACTGAGGTCTTTCACTATTGAACAGAGACCAATCAGGAGTTATTCAAGTACTCAGAAATCTCAAAGGCACCGGCAAGATACCCGCAGGGACTTCTTTAATCAACAGTGAAACAAACACCAGAGGACACAAGTGAAAACCACAGGGGCGTGTCATTAAAAGTGAGAACGGTAGGCACTTCTTTAACCTTTAAATGGCACTTCTTTAAACAAAGGATTGTGGGAATGTGGAAAAGGCCGTTCGAGCCAGTTTACTGATGGCGATGCCTTGGCAGGATGCGATCCTTCGATCAGTTAGAAAACTGAAAGCCAAAAAAGGATAGCCTCCTCTCATCTGTAAACATTATGTTCTTGTGCGTCAAGAAGAACCATCAAAAACTATGACACCTTTCTTATGTTACTCTGTTCTTGTACGAAAGGAGTCTGGAAGGGGAAGGGCGAGGCACTCACTGGTTGATATTGGCGATGGTGTCCATCCAGCTGCGGACCCGCACCTTGTTCCTGACGTTGGGCGGGTTGCTGAACTCGTGGATGATACAGATGTGGTAGGGGTAGGGCCCGCTGAAGATCTTCCTCTCCAGGGTCAGGGAGTCCACCTAGCGGGACAGGGTGGTCAAACGAAAACTCTTTCTCTCTCAGCTGCCCCCCTTTGAAAGGCAAACTTGCAGCGCTGGACGTCTTTCCATTTGAGCCGTTCGGCTCCAAAGGAATCTTGAATCTTTTCACAACACCCCCCTTTTAGAGAAAATGCCTCGAGACTTAGCAGTCTGCATGGAGAACGCTTTGTTTAGCCTTATCACTGTAAATACTTAAAGCTCACTAGGTGTGTGTGGCACGCAGTAAAGATTTTTACATTTGACACGTTTACGTCCATGCTTTTCTCCAAAGCGACAACGTTTGCACCCGATTATGCAGCTGGGTGTTCTAGCGGAGCAATCTGGTGCAAAAGCACGACAAGGGCATGACAGCCGCGTCGCGCCAGGGATTCGAACCCACACCCTTCCCCTGAAGGGCCCAGAGCCCCGAGCACTGCTCTGCGCTGCTGCTCAGCCGTTCGGCTGGGTTACCTCTGACACACGGGCCTACCTGCTGCATGGGCCGCATGTAAATGATGCGGTTCCTCTCGGGGGGCATGCGCAGGATCTGGTCCAGGACCTGCTCCATGTTGAGCTTCTTGCACTGGGCGTAGTCGAAGCGGTTCACGATGGGGGCGCTCTCCACCTTCAGGTGCTTCAGCACCCGGCACCTGGTGGCTGGAGGAGGAGAGAGCCCGAGCGTGCGAGAGGTGAGACGGGCTGTCTGGCCCCCCAGCGAATTAACCCCCAGCCCATCCCCGCCTGCAACAAGGGAGGCAATGAAGGAAACACAGCGATTTCCTAACCTGGCTCAAGGAGGGAGCTGCGTCAGCAGGCACAGGCTGAAAAGGAACAAGTACAGGTTTATTCCATGCTGAAAAGAACAGAAAAGAAACGCAATGTTTCGCCTGTGAAGAAGCCTTGCACACCCAAAGAAGGCTCCACAGCCGAAACAGTTTCCTTTCTTCTCTTTTCAGCATGGAATAAACCTTCATTTGTTCCTTAATTTCCTAACCTGACCTAGTTGGACTTTTGCCGGGTTAATTTCGGCAGGTTGGCCTTTTTTAGGAACGGGGGGGCCCTTGCCTTGTTGTTTTTTTTCGTTTTTTCCCACACGCTTGCACATAAATGTTTTGTTTTTTTACGCAAGCGCCTGCATCTGGCCTTCCCAATGCAAAAGAGAATGGCTCGAGGTATTGCCGTGTTTGTGTGCGCACTGTTTTGTGCCTGGTCCTTCAACAAGTCCTGCAACGTTTTCAGGGGCTGTGCTCCACGTTCCATTGGAAAAAAGACAGAGGTAAAACAAAAGAACACTCACCATGAATAAACATCATTTTGGGGCACTCTTTCAGCACCAGGTCAGTGATTCCACAGTTTGTTAGTGTGATTCCTACAAGATTTTTGGATTTCAGGGTCAGCACCTACAAACCAATAGAATGCTCTTAATTTACGTTCAGTTTAAAAAGACAGTGAAGATTCCACTTATCAGACGAGCTCAATACGTATTAATAGGTAATGTCACAGAATGTATCAGTTGTAGGATTTAAGTTCTCTTATTTACTTTTCACCCATCACCCATTAACCTTTGATGTTTAATTCATATACAGCCAAATTAAGGGAAAAGGCATCTGGACAGAAGATTTATTTTTCTTTCCAAAGAAGACAGAACTATGACAGACCCCCGTGCACGTAAAAAAAAAAAAGGCACTTGAATTTGAGGTTTCCTGTAATCAAGCCCTTAAGCACAGGTCCTGATGTGTACGTCCATTCACAAATCACCCCTCCATTATCCAGTTAGGGATGGCTGGATAATGGACAAGCTTTGAGGAGAGAGGGCTGTGTCTACAGTGAGCAGCTGTACCGACCTGCACATGGTCATCCTCAGTGACGGGGTCGCTGGTGCTCGTCGACTTGTCCGCCATCCGTTTCCTCTTCACTGCTGGGCGGGGTTTTGGCTTGGAGAGTTCTGCGAGTCAAGAGGCGCGGTAGTTCACAGGCAGAAAAAAACGCTCACTGCCTTCAGAGAATCAGGCACCGACGCGACGCATTCAAACACCCGAACCGCGCGGCGCTTACCCGACTCGGAGACCAGAGGGACGCAGGACTGCCTGCTGCTGGCCCGCGTGACCGGCCGCCGGTGACCCCCCTCCCTGGCTCTGCTGTCCCGCGGCCCAGTATGACTGCCATCCTCAGAGGAACTGGAGCTGCCACCCGTCCTCTCTTGGCCATCGGCCTGCGGCTCCAACACACACCGGGTCCTGGCGGGGGCCTCGGAGCCTGCCTCCCCCGGCCCCGAGGGGGGCGCCCCGGGG